AATTCTGCGTGGAGTGTAGAACTGTTTTTTTTAAAACCTAATTGATGGGAATGACTATCTGTTATGCTAGGACATATTTGTAGTATTAGATACTCTAGAAGTTTAGTAAAGATAGGTAAAATACTAATTCCTCGATAATTATCTGGATTATTAAGAGATTTTTTATATGACTTAACAAGTAGAATAATTGTTGAAGTTGATAGATCATTTGGTACTTTTCCATTCGATAGAATACTGTTATAAAATTTAGCGAGCCACAAAAGAAGATTGTTATTATGAGAGTTTTTAAGGTGTTCAGCACTTAACCCATAGCTATCTCACAATTAAATAGTAATAAGTCCCCAACTTATTACTATTTAATTGTGAGATGCAATTTATAATATCAGCTGATGTTATGATTAGTGAATTAGGCTCTTTACTTAGAGGTGGAATTTGAGAAGGATTATGGTTATTATTTGTAATAAGAGGCGTATTGAGAAGAGTTTGAAAATGTTGTCTAAATTCTTGAACGATATCTTTTATATTTTGCGATTTGTTAATTGTAAATAACCGAGTTGTTGCTTTAGTTTTGATTTTACGGATGTTATCTTCGAACCGCTAATCCCAGAATCTCTGGGATTAGTGGTTCGAAGATTTCAATATTTATTGTTTTTTCGTGGATCTTTTTGTTATGAGCTGCTTTAACTGCTTTACAGAAGTTTTTGCGTGAAAAGATGTATCTTTTGTATTCAATGCATTTTTGTGTTTTATTATAATTAGATTTTTGCCATTGTTTATAGTTAAATGAAAGATTTTCTTTGCATTTTTTAAGGTCCGTTGTCCACCATGATTTGGAATACTTACAGATTTGTTGTTTAAAGCACTGCTTAACTGCTAACAAAGCAGCATTTTGGATTTTTTCGCATGTTTGTTTTAATTCTTGTTCAATTTCTTCTTCATTGAAGGTGTAGTAGTTGAAAGCAACGGAGAGGTTATGATTATATATGTTAATGAATTTTTCGTTATTCCATGCATATTTTGGGATATAATTATATTTATGCATTATGCTATTTATTACGGTTGATAGATTAGTATGTGCAACGACGATATTTGTAGCGATTGGTAAGTGATCACTAAAATTAAAAGGAGAAGGAGGAATAACGCTTGTATTTATAAAAGATAAGGATGACTCTTTTAAAGCTGCGATGTGATTGATATACGATGAGTCAGATAGAGTTTTATGCTGATAGGTGTATGTTGGACCAGCGCCACTGATTATATCGATAAATGAGAGCTTATTTGATTTAATGAAATTATTTGATGATTAGAGAATTTATTGCGTTTTTTATTATTACGGATCTCAGAATCGTAAAGTGTTTCGGGATAAGACTAAAAATCTCCAGCAATAATACATTCACTTACATCTTCGTAGTTTTTTACGATTGAAGTGATTAGGTTTAATTGTCGTTCGTACTTTGAAAGGGATTCCTCGTTATTTCGACATGATGTGAGATAAATACCAATAAAGACTAGATTGTGACACTTTTTTTTACCTTTAATAGCGAGAATATTGTCATCTTCATAAATTATGTGAGGAGACAGTAAAACATCTTTTTTAATAATGAATGCGTTTCCTCCAAGTGGTCTTCCAAATGCTTTTTTTTTCTGCCGCATGAAAAAATACTTTATGTGTCGGCAATGCTATGTTTTTTAGCACAAAAAGTTCAATATTCAAAAGCCAATGTTCCGATAGAAAAATAATATCAAATGATTTGACCAGTTCGGAAATATAAATTGAGTTCGATTTAAAACTTTAGCAGTTATATGCACAAAAATAAATATTTTCAAAGGTTTTACTTTCTATGTTTCCTTCCATTTAGAAATAGAATTTCGTATTCAAGTTGAGTAAGAATGTTGCTGTGCAAAGTATGGTTGTTCTTTAGATGTAGAAAATATTTGTTGATTTGGATGTACAGAGTGTAGCGTATTAGCTGCACTCTGCTGTGGTGTTTCGTTTCTTGAGGTAACACGATGAAGCCTAAATGGTTTAACGATAATATTAGTATCCCAAATATCAGGGTTTAGGATTATGTCTTTTTCAGTACTTTTTATGATAGCTTTGAATGAACGATTGTATTTATTTTCCCGGTTAGGCTCTACCTTAATAGGCTCAATACCTATTTTATTTTTGATGTGGTTAGATAGATCTTCTTCCGACATTGAATTACAGACCCCTCCTACAAAGATATAAGATTCTCGCACCGTACGTTCGCCTGCAATAGAGTTTCTGTTAAATGCAACTTTTTTTCCGAAAATAGGCTTTATTATAGACCTTTCTGTTGGGACTTTATTTGTTGCATTATTTTTTTTGACTACCATAAAGGAACAATCTTTTTTTTTCCAGTCCTCTCTTTTTTCAATAATTTGAACCTTTTTAGCATAGGTGACTCTATTTTGGTTTCCGTTTTCGTTTGTTTTTAAACTGGACTCTATAATGGTAGTCTCATCATGAAGGAAATGTAAAGGTATATTATTTAAAGTATTTTCATTATTTGAGGAATGATTTTCTATTGAATCAGAGACAAAAGATTTTTTAGTATTTAGCGCTTTTTGAAATGATAAAAACTGCAGCTGTTTGAAAGCAACGTGTTTTGATTTTTTTCGATTTTTTTGCACGTTTGCTGCAAAGCACGTTTGCTTCATTTATGTTTTTTTTTAAAGTTTTTTATTTTTGTCTAGAGATTTTTTTCTAAATTTTGTCAAATTGTTTCTCAAATGATGAAGAAAAAAACTATAGTTTTAAAAATGTTATATAAATATATAATATTTATATATATATATGATATAAATATAAATATATGATATAAACTTTCATATAATAAAATATAAGTTTTATTTTTGCGAAAATTTACCTAAAATTGTTGCTTTCTATCAAATTATATTGATTATTGTTAATATAAACCATGACTTTTTAATGCGCATTGTTTTATCAATTTCCTAATTTTCATTCATCAGATGTTTTGTTATGCAGTGCGTAGTTTTTGAGATATTTTAGTTGCTCAACTTGCCCAATGCTCAACTAGCTCCACTAGTACACTATTTTGTTTTATTCAACTGTTTTCAATGTATTCAATTTTATTCAATTCTATTAAATAACTGTAAATCAATTAATCTTTATTCAATTTTATTTGATTGTAAAACTAGGTGTATGTCAGTTTTGTAACTATTTATTTTTTTAGGTTATGTGAAAGTGCCTCAAAAAATACCGTTCTAATTGATCTAAACACAAATTCTGCAACGATATTTTTGTTTAGAAATTTTTTAAATATTGTCGTTATTTTAATAACGGAGTATAAATCAAAGTTTTAAATTAAAAAAAAATGTTCATGAGTGGTTTTCCTTTATACACTTTATACACTACTTTACACTCTGGATAACTTTAATTTGACAGTGTTAATATGAAACTTCTAGGAGATATTTTTGTTCAAAATAACATTTATGAAGTTAACATATTTTTTTCCTATAAAAACCCCCTGGTTTGAGAAAAATCTTCACTTCAAATAATAATAAATATGATTTAATAATATTACAAGCAAATGAAAAGTAACATTTTGTATAACATTTAATAATGACGCTATTTCTTGTTGTCATTCCTACCCTAAGCTTATATTGCAATACATATTGCAAAATGGTTTCACATTAATTTAACATAGTTTAAAACATAAAAAAAATTGAACCATTTTTATGCTCTTGTAATTTTCTATGCTATTGCATTACTTTTTTTGTTCCCGCCTTTAATATTTAAATTTTTTTGAGTAAATATTTGTTCACAATAATTTTTTTTTTTGAAAAAAAAAGACATTTAAATATTTATCTTACATTTTTTATTACATTAAACTAAATACTAAATAACAATAAAATGTTTAATACTATTTTAAATAAACATGGAATTTGGGAAACTTAACTTTTCAAACTTTTTTATTGAACCTGACTTTTTGTTGCTGAGTTCTTTGTTCAGCATTGCTTGTATTGTAGTAGCAGGGCCGTCCGGAGAGAGGATGTAAGAGTAAAGGGATGTCTAACCCCCTCGGAAACTTTTATTCAAAAATTAGTCAACAAATTTGGAGACTGGAGTAAGCAAATTTGAATCCAAAGTTGGCAATCTGCAAATATGTATAAATCTGCATTAGGTTATTATTTTTTTTAAGGCCTTAGTTGGCAAAAACCCTATTTTTTACCCCCCCCCCTCTCTTTAAAATATCTTCGTGACGGCCTTGAGTAATGGTCCTTTGGGGGAATGTAACTAGATGGAGAAAACGTATGAAGATTTTTGATTAATATAAAAAAATTAAGTGTGAAGTGTAAAAGAAACTCTAAATTATTCTGACTTATATTATTCTGAATTTCTTCGAAAAATCATTTTGAAAAATTACTTTTTTTACTTTTTTACTCTATTATTTTTTCTGTACCGTGTAGTTATTATAATTTCAATCGCTATAATTGAAAATATTTTTTTGATTATTTTTATTACTACTATTTTAACAGTTTTCATTTTATAAAACGTTGTTTTGCGTTTATGTTAACTTTTTTTTTATCTTTTTTTTTTTTGCCGTAACTTAAAGTAAAATGTAAAGTAACGTTTGTCTTAAATCAACATTTTTTGAGGTGTTGTTTTTTCTAAATTAGTCATTTTTTCTTTTGTGATATATACTTTAATAAGTTAATAAACAATAAAAAACTAAATTAAAATAATTAAAAACATATTTATAATTAACTCACTATTATGAATTTCTTTGCTTAAATTTGTTTTTTGTATTAAAATTTTTATTATTATTAGTTAGTGATTAAACTAAAAGTTAATTTAAATGATATTAAACCCCCGTTTAATTTGTCCCCCTGTTTTTTTTTTTTTTTAGCTTTGTTTTTGCTATTGAGTCTAGTTATGTTTGTCCAAAGATAAAGTATAGTGTAAATGACACTTAGTGTTCAATCTTTTTTTTTTGTTGTAAAGTTAATTTTATTGGTAACTTGAGATAAAGTCATCAAAACAAACAGTCAAGATCAATTTTGTTTAAAACATCGGCTGAAAACTAAGTTTAAGTAAAAAAAAAAAAAATACTAAAATAAAAAAATGAGTCGAAGCTTTAGAGATTCTTCCAAATATTTATCAAGAGATGATCAAACAGATCAACCTGGTAATGAAAGCGATACCTCTCGTCATAAAAAGTACGGTTTACAATGGTTCTATAAAGCAAAAAGAAAAAATCTAAATAACGAAGACGAAGACGAAAATGGAAAACCTATTGTACGTCGAATCGTGCGAAACTTTGATCAGAAAAAATTGCTCGAGTTAATAAACTCAAAGACAGTTGACATTAATGAAACCAGTCCAAAAGGAATAACTGCTTTACATGAAGCAGCCATTGATGGAAACTTAGCTTGTATGCAAATACTAGTTGAAAATGGAGCTGATATTTCAAAAGCTGATAACGAAGGTTACACTAGTCTAGATTATGCTGTTCTTGGCGGCCATTTCGACTGCGCAGCTTTTTTGATAAGTAAAGGCAGTAATACTGACCATATAAAAAACGGAAACCCTTATTTTCGTCCAACTTCGTCTCATCGTTAACTGCTTTAGGATTTTTTACGCATGTTTACTGCCATTTTCGAAAACTTGTGCAGATTTATTCTGATTTTTAACACTTCCAATGAAAGTATATAAAAAAGTTACATTTAAAATTTTCGGTAACATAGTTTTCACTACTTATGAACTGATTGTACCTGCTTGTATCTGGCTATACCTGCTTGTGTCTGGCTATACCTGGTTGCAACTGACTATTTTATATATATTTTTTAAACTTTAAATTTTTATTAAGTTGATGTATTTATTTTATAATAAAAAGTCTTCAATAAAAGATCTGGTTGAGTTATATATTTTATTGTTGTAAATAATTTAAATATATAGTATTTTTTTTGTAGTTTTGTTTCTTTTCAAATAATACGGTCGGATATTAAACATTACTCGTTAATTAATTCAAAAAAGTTCCGTTTAATTTCTGTATTTTGCGAATACAACTTTAGATATTCAAGTTCTTAAATAGATCAACTGGTTATAACAAACGTTCATTCATTTATTCATTCACACTTTTAATAAAAATAATAAGAATTATAAAAAACTTCTTTATAACTTGATTCCTGTTTGGTATTTGCTTGATTATTCATGATTATTTTGCTTCTTTGCATCAGGTACTTTTACACAAAAGGAAAGCTTGCATATAATTGTAAAGTTATAAAACCCTCTACTGCATTTTATTTTGCTTTCCGTATTTATTATATGTTGAACATGTAAAGATAAAATGTGATAAACTTTTCGAACATTCAAAACTGCATTTAAATAATATATATCATAATAAAAATTTTTCTGAATTATTACTAATTTAACTTTCGTATTGTTTTATATTTATTTGAGTACTTTAACAATAATATTTTCTACAAGAACAACAAAGTGGACGAAAAAATAATTTGAGTTAACAAATATTCCAGTTTGTCCATGGTTTGTCCATGGTTTGTCTCAATCAGAGAACTCTATTAGTAAATAATGCAAAAACTTTTTACCCAAGTAAAGTTGAAAATAACCCGTGTTCAAATTATTGTGATTTAATTAATTTATATAAAAACAAACAAATTACCCTTCCAACGTTTTATTACCCTTCGGTAATAAAACGTTGTACCCCTTCAACAATTGTATCCAGTCAAACAATTCTATCCAGCAAATAAAATGCCTGTAAAGGTCTACTGCAAATACACTAATTTAGGTCTACTGCAAATACACTATTTGCAAAGGTCTACTGCAAATACACTATTTAGACTAACTAACAAAATTGTTTGCTGGGTACGGTACTTTACTGCAATAGATTTTTTGAGTTTCAATTTTTATAAAATAGATTTATGAATATTTATATTAATTTTTATAGAACAGATGTATATGTACTTAAAACTTTTAAACATTTTTTTTGATATGATTTAACAAATCTGTTTAAAATTATATCAGCATGTTTCCAAATTTTCAAAATAAGCAAAACAATTAGTTTTAACAAATTACATTTTTTCATTTTTCCGTTTATATAATAATTGTCCATAAAAAGTGATTAGTTGATATAATTAATGTTTGTTTAAAGATTCTAGGTTTATATTGTTAAGCCAAACAATTTTAAACGTTTAGAAAACGTAGCACTAAGCTAGACAAAACATAAATCAGATTAACTAACATACACCGGATTAGCGGATCCTTTTAATTACTGCGTAATAAGAAAAATAACAAACAACATAGAGAATAAAATTTTTTAAAATGTTTAATGTACATTAGATATAAGAACAATTGATAAAAACAAACAAAATATATTCTAAACGCTTTTTTTTTAATATAAAAGAACCGCTTTTAAATTAATAATAAAAAAAAAAAACTTAATAGATTTTAAAATTCTAGGAATCAATAAAAACTTTCTAAATACAGAGTTTTTAGGAGTTTTCGAAAATAACATAATGTTAAGGTTTGCAGTTTAACATTTTTTCCGTGAAACTTTTTTATTGCTTTTATAAAGCAAATATGAAATTATTTTATAAGTAGTTATTTTAAAATGCACTTCAGGCTTTTTTAAAAAAATTTTGAATTAAATTTTAAATAATCAATCTTTAACTTTTTACAATATTAAACATTTGTTCATAGACTTAAATATTTGTTCATAGACTTGAATATTTGTTCATAGACTTAAACATTTGTTGATAGATTTAAACATTTGTTCATAGACTCAATTAAATTTGTTTTGTATTGCGAGCGAATAGATTGTCAAAGTGTTTTATCGTTTAAAACTAAATTCTAGTTAAAAATTAAAACAAACAAGGGTTCCTCGAAGTTCAGGTCCTTCGAAGGCTCAAACCGTTTGAACCACTTGGATTCTTTTGTACTTAATTAAAATATATTATAAATTTTAGAAATACATTCGTCACTGAAATCGGTATGAAAGACATTTTGTAATTTGATTAAAACTGTATGTATTTTTAACGTTTTGTTTATTTTTTGTTTGTTTGTTTATAAACACGGAAAATGTAGAAACGGTTCTCTCTCTCGGTTGCTCTCTGTGATGTGACAGTCAATGTCTTGTTCTTGCTCCGGCCATTTGTAATATGCGTTTATTGTATATAGAAGGCAAAAAAAAAAAAAAAAAAAAAAAAAAAAAAATTAATTTTAAAATTTTAATTCAAGATGAATCACTGCGCATGAGCGCATTATTTGCAGTTGCTAGGCTGCACAGTTATATAATAAACATTTAGATTTTTATAATATACGTGTATATATATATATATATATATATATATATATATATATATATATATATATATATATATATATATATATATATATATATATATAATAACAATGAAACATAGAAATGATTATTATTTAAAAAAATTTAGAAATATTATTTAAAAGCCATGTATCGGCCATCAAATCTCAGTCATCATTTATTTAAAGACTATAAAAAATATTGATTAATTTATATATTTTTTTTATTAGTTATTTAGATGATCTGAAAAGTCCTAACGGTCTTATCACTGAACGTCAAAGATGGAATTTAACTAGGAAGTTCACGTCTTTTTCTTTACCAATAATGTAAATATAACGCGAGACATGATTTTTTCACGCCGTGTATTTCTGGTATCAATACTTGTGAAGGTTTATCTACTACAAACAAAAAAAAAATTTTCCAAATAATTAAATTAAGACCCAATATAAAAAGCAACAACATTTTATCCGTGGATGCAAAAAAAGACAACGCAGAGAATGACCAAGAAGATTCTCCAATTGTTGATTTGTAACTTCCCGAACATACTCTCTCATTAAACATATGCCACATTTGCATAAAAAGTTTACCAAATATTTATTGCATCTAGTTGTACAATTACAACAAAAAAATCTTAACAATTCTGTTAAGAATTTTTTATTGATAGAAAGCATTTTTTTTAAATACGTCATTTTGAAAATTTAAGCATAAGTTAAATAAGATTTAAATAATTTTGAACAATTAATATAACAGGTATATTTTAAAATACTGGAATATAAAATACCTGTTTGTAAATCTGGCCAAAATACTACCAACCCTAGTCTCGGCATTCATTACTGGTCCTTTCAACTCTGAATCAGTAAATATTGTTTACCAATTTTTCTTAACAATGATTGCTTATGACGTTTGAAATAATATCACTAGATATTATTTCAAATAATTATGCTACAGTATTCCATTTATCGTTTAAATTATGGTACAATATTCCATTGAAAACTTTTAACTCTTCGTTAAAAGTTTTCAAATGGAATACTTCAGAGTACGTATGCTAGTACGTCGAAGTTTAATATTTTTTAAACTAGAAAGTTTGTACTTTTAAAACTGATCGTAATATTACTTTATTGAACGTTTTTTGAAAATTCCTCCTTACCCTAAAACCCCCTAATATTTGATCATTTTATGCGCGCGCATAAATTTGAAGAAGGATCTAAATAATAAATTTATTCTGTTAGAAGTCAGTGAAGTGTGGCCGAGAGTTTAATACGTGTGCTTCCGCACCAAAGAATCTGTGATCGTATCCGCAGTCATGTCAAAATTCAATTTTTGCTTATAAAATAAATTGTTTTAGAAGGTGAACACATCTGCAGTATTTTTAATAACGAATTAAATAAATTAGCTTTATTCAGAGCGAACGTTTATTTCAGATACAATAACTCCCACTACCCCCGTTTAATAAGTCCGTAAAAAGCAAGTCTTACACGAAATGAGTAATATTGTAAACAATTTTTTAAAACAGATTTTTTGCAGATTTAAAAAAAGGCAATGCTTAAAATAGAGGCTCGCCCAACTCAGGAGTAATGCTTAAAATAGAGGCTCGCCCAACTCAGGAGTAATGCTTAAAATAGAGGCTCGCCCAACTCAGGAGTAATGTTTAAGGGGTGGGGTGTATGTGCATTAAAGGCACTAAATGCTTTACTCTACGCATACAACTTTTTATTCAAAAATTTAAAAAAAAAAAAAAAAAAAAATTCTGAAAAAACTTTATTGGATCTTTAGTCAGAAAATTATGGACAAAAATAAAACGTTATGGTTTTTTTTTTAAGTTATAATTTATTCAAAAACATTTAGATATAAATAAGTACTTGTTAATTGTGAAAAATTAGAAAAACAAACTTTACCTTGGAATACTTTTTAAATTAGTGCGTAGGTACATTTATATTGGATCCTAGCTCCTCTGCCCGCTTCCCATACACTTGGAACGTTATTTAAAGACCCATTTTTTCCTGCCGATGAGCGTACTTACGTAGGAAATAAAGGGCGTACATAAGGTACCCCTTACTTCATAGAAGACCCCCTAATAAACCAATATTAATCTAAAAAAAAAATTAAATGTTATCCAGAGACAGGAAAGTTACAAAACAGTCATATACTGACAAAACGAAACAACCTACCATGAAATAAAAACAACTACTGCAAGTTTAATAAATATATAATAATCTTAGTATCAATAATCATAATAAAAACACACACTAATTTCATATCATAATATCCAGCAAACGAATAACGCCCAATTGACGCCCTTAAACGCCTTCTCGACAAATTTACGTCAAAAAAATGAAAAAAAGACGTCTTTACTGAATAGTATTAATTAATAATATTAACAATGATAATATATATAGTTTACAAAATATAATAGGCCAATTTAAATATATTAATATAAAAATTCAATACGCAATTGTTGCAATATACATCCATAAAATGTCCGTAAACGGAGAGATAATAACAAATCACGTTAAAAATAAAGATACCAATAAAGAAATAGTTCAAAATAAAACGACTTCTTATTTTTTACATAATGAAAACACGAATGTAAATAAAGCTAAAAAATAATAACAAATGGCTAAAAATTGAAGCGT